AATGTCTGAAGTATTACAGCAGCACAGGCTGTTGATTCGATGGATGTAAAGACTAGTCAAGCCTGCATTCGTGGAGCAAACTTATAAATTACTACAGTACTTTACTGCAAGTTTGCAGCCTTTCTTGGTGGTCACTTGTGAAGCTAAGTCAGGATTTGGTAGGGCCTTAAAATCTTTATGAAAATTCCTCCGATAAATATTCTACGCTGGATTGAGCTTCTCGTTAATGCCTCTAATACCTGAAATGACCTTGCAAGGATAACATCCCAACATACCAGTGTCTGATTGTCATCAGGCCCCACTGTTCATGAATTTTGCCGTTCACACGGCGCATTCTTACTTTCAGGAGCAACTGATTGCAATAGCTTAGAAATTTCAATAAACATATAGTATACAAATCTGAGGGCAAGAGTAATATTATCGAAAACCAACTTCTATTTGTAATTGGAAGTCTTAGTAGTATCTGGCTGTACTGTATTTTGGTTAATGTGTTACGAATATGCTCTAGCATGTTTGGTTTGTGCTTGCACCACTACCCAAAGACTTTAGTGATTAGCCTTCTTATCATACAAATGCCATCCTCACCACACACCAACTGTGACAGCTTATATCCTTGTATTAGCTCATCGCACATTTATCCTATTTTGGCCGTCGTCTTTTATATGGAATTAAGGAATTACTCTTGAGGACTCTTCCTGTTTTTCCAGTTCTCTCTCCTCTTCTCTCCCTTCCCCTCACCAAAATACTATAACGGTAGATACGTAAAGCTATTGAATGCTGAAGCATGTTTATTTTATTTTCGTTGTTTATTGAGGTGCTGTGATGTAAATACTTCAAGTGCTAATACCAAAATGTAGTTTACAGAGCGAGAGCTACACTAGTGGTGTTCCATCTTCACTCTAATCTTAGTCATATGATGCTCTCAAGGTGTAGTGGGAAATGTATGTGGACTTATGGAGACGACTAACTAATCAGTCATGAAGTCTGTGGCTTACTGCATTATATTTTGAGTTTTCCCTTATTAAAATTAGCATACTCAGAATAAAGTAACTCTACATTTAAATTTAGCTTACACACTTTAAACTTACTATTACATTTTTAGAGAAATTACTTTTTTTTTTTTTTTACATGCACATAGCTTTCACATACTCATAATAATAATGATAGCTTACACACTCATAATAACGGTAGCGTACACTCGTAATAATGATAATGTTCACTTGCAATAATGACAGCTTACATACTCATAATAATGATAGTGTGCACTCGTAATAACGTTAGTGGATACTCATTGTAATAATAGCATGCACTCGTAATAATGATAGCATGCACTCATAATAATGATAGCTTATACTGTATATAAGCTAGCTTTCACTCAAAAGGATAACATTCACTCATAATAATAGCTTTCACTCATAATGATGCAGAGAATGCATCCACAAAAATACCAGGAACTCATTGACTATACATACTCCAAACATAATGAAACATATAAGGTTTTAACATGTATTGAACATGGTGAACATCTATTGGAATTAATGTTCCAATGTATAGTTAATTTTTCTATGAATTAACTCTTTCAAATATTTGTTTGTAATTGAATTTTGAGGTTTATAATTATATTTTTCTTTGTTTTCATGCAAATGTTTAGTTGTTAAACTGTAGAATGACAGTGGGATAGATGCCTAGAAACCACTTGGAGACCAGCAAGCAACTTTACCCTTTGTGTCATAAAAATTTTCTTGAGACTTGTGCTGAAATCCTGACATTTCCTGTCTCTGGACACCAAATACAGTACAGTATCCAGAAATCAGTTGAAACATACTACCAGAACATGCCAAACACATCTTGTTATCTTGCATAGTAATATCAGTCATTAAAACTGCACAGGCTGTACTCTAGTTCCAAAGCAATTTGTCACCAAACACGGGTGACCGTTTTATTTTCCCTGGACACGTGGAAAAAAGGAGAAAATAAAGTTTTGTGAGGGAGACTAAAAACCCCCAAAGCTTTTCATGCGCCCTTATAAGGAAGTGAACAGGAGTGGAATCAAATAAAAACACCAGGTGAAGCAATTGGAACCTACACACACATGCTGAGGCCAAACTTTAACTTACATCCTTCTCGGGGAACAGAAGAAGAGTTCCAGAGGAGGGGGGCCAGCATGAGCAAGAGTGACCAAGTGAACTCGTGGAAATTGTCTAGTTAAGAATAGCTGCAGGCAAGGCATATCACGAAGAAGTCCAGCTGCATCCCTCAAAAGTGGTACAAATAACTTTAGGTCAAGTACAGTATTAAGGTTGTTGGTGAATCCACACCCAGAATGGAAAAATCATTACACTGCCATGCAGTAAACAACAACTGGTGAACAAACTAGTGACATCGGTAACCCATAACAACCCTGGAAATTGACCATAACCAAAGCAGTAGGCAAGAATTCCCAAGGTTCCAGCATTCTGGACAGAGCAGGTGCATAAAGAACCTGGTTCAGGAAATTAAGAGATTTTCCAGAAAGGTACACAAATAGAGAGGAGACCTCCTTTCTCCCTTGTGCCCCCTTCCCCCTTCATTTCTGCTTTGCTTAAAGTGACTATACCTGTCTTGTCTGGTCACTGCCATCAGAAGTATCATTTTCAGTAGCTCATTCCTTGGAAATCACTAACCATTAAAGTCTGATATTAATATGTAATGTGGCATGATGTGTTTAGCATGTGTTGATAACTTTTCCCGTTTATTTGGGTGTCCGAGTACAAGAAAAATGATTTGTGAGAGATATCTGAATGTGTGGTGTATTATCCATAATGCAATTTTCCAGGTCTCTACCCTAGTGTCATCCGGTAGTTTAAGGACTAAATCTTCCTGGAAACTGTTGCAAACAAAATTAAATCAAATACAGTATGACAAATTAAATTTTATAGTCAACCAAATTACTGCATGATGGTTTTTGTAATATCCTTTCACAGAATCCTGGGAAACTGAACTTTATAATATTTATTCTGGCAGTTTTGTATTAAATGCCTTTATGTTCCAATATGATATTGGAGTACAGTACAATATATAAAGAGTTCCTGGCATTATTGTGGTTTTCTTCTAGTGCTGAGACTGTAGACTGTTGAGTTTTTAGGGCTGATTTCCAGTAGCTGGTGACCATCTGGATACAATCTTAGATACATTACAATCCCAGATGCTACACACTTACACCACAAACTCTCAGAAATTCAAACCAACATTAATACATGTAATAGATCCAAATGGATTTGGATGTATTACATGTACAGTATGACAAACTCAAATAGTAACCCATTACTGTTATTGTTACATCCCGGGGGCACAACAGGTACGAGACATTATTATTTTTTAGGATGTGCTTAGGAGAAGAGCCAGATCGTTGCCTGCATGTTGGCTTGAACTGGCTGGCAGTATGGCAGTGTCAACAGAGTATGGCAATGTCAACAAAGTATGGCGTCGTGTGCACTCGCTATAGAAACTCCTGCATATTAAGTCTTCAAGTATACCATACATAATCAGGACTTCTCAGAGTATATTGTATTTTGATTTGTTTTACTGTAAAATGTGCTTCTGTTCTGTAATTCTAGTTCTTATTGGTTGTCCCAATAAGGACTAGAATTACAGGTAGAAGGTAAAAATTTATGCGAGACTTGATGCCCTGACCAGCGGCATTGATCTTCATCGTCACTTCATACCCTTTATAGCATGTTTAGCACATGTTACCTCTTGGTGCTTGTGTAGAAAACCTGTTTTTATTTTTCTAAAATACGAGTACAGTATCACAATTATAAATCTGGATCATAAGTTTTCATATTGTTGATAAAAGGCCATTGTCATCTCTCATGTCATCAGATAAAACAGAAGAAGAATATTTGTGTGACTTTGTATACTCTACTCAAACATGTTTATTTCTGTTTTTATCCTCAATTTTTCAAGCCTTTTGTATATTTATCTTTTTGTAAGGGATGGTACCCTAGTGACTTGTTTCAACTTGCTGTCATTTTCAATTTCTTCAATATAAGGTTAAAACACTCAAAAAAACTTAACATACCTCATTTGGGTATCAAAAGTTTTGTTGTCTGCATTTACCAGGTACAGGCTCCTGTTTTGAAGGTCAGAGGACTTGGTCACATATTACATGATTTGGATGTGTTTTTCTGGGTATGACTCGGGCTGCTTATCACTTTCAAGGGCATATTTTTGTGAATTTACAGGTATGGGTTAGTGCAGCTAATGGGTTAACGATGTGTAGAGAAGAACGCAAAACTCTTAGCTTTGCCAGAAAATTGTGCTGATATAGTTGAAGACACCAGTAATGTTCAGTGCAGTGAGATAGCTGATCTTGGATTCATTGAGTGATTAATGACACTTAGTGGAGAGGTTTTACAAGAAAACAAGTGCATAGCAACTTTTTCTTAAATCATATTGTTAATAGCACAGTAGGAATTGATTGGAAAAGTTATGCTGGCAGTTGTTGTGAAATTGTCTTAAAATTTTACCTGCCTTCTCCTCTTTCCTTCTCCTTTCTTTGCTTTCACAACTAAGATTGGTAATCTAGAGGAGTCTTAGTTTAAAAAATTATTGAAAGGCATTAAGGGTGAGGTTTATGGTGTGTATATTACAAGCTACATTGATATTAGGTACAGGGTGATGCTGGAGATACTTGTGGGTGAGAACTTTCAGTGGGTCAGTTTAATTTCTCGAACATGCATTTGTTATGTGAACGTGTTCCAAAGGAAAGTCAGACAAGGAATGAGTGATTGCTGAGAAAGGAGCTACGTGAGGAAATCTGTTGTTGGCTGAACGTTTGTTATGTTAGCAGACATGCTAGAAAGAGGCTTTATGCTTCCATAATTTGCATCGCAGAAATTTGTCAAGTTATTAAGAAGTCAAATGGATAATTTTGTATAGGGTTGATGTATTCAGTATCTTTTGCAGCTCTGTCTCGCCAGTTGAGAAGCAAACCAATGTAAAATTAATTATCTTTCCAGGCGCACCTGGGTGGGAGTAACCCCAGCACTCCCACCTCCACGCAGCCGCCCACATCCATGTCCGGATCTGTCTCTCAGCCTATGCTATTGGACAGACAAGATTCCAACCTCAGCACTGGTCAGTTGTGTTCTAGAATCAAACCGATAGTATGACTAGAAGGTATTGCTTCTGTTTTTCTTTTATTGGTGAGTGAAGAGAATTAATAAAATGTTAAAAGGCACTATGGGGGGAACTTGGTAAGTAAGAAAAAAGTGCTTGAAATTTTGATCGATGAAACATCAATATGAAGAGAATGACTAAGCAAGTTAAGGAAAATGCATATGAGCTCTTTGAAAAAGGTGAAAAAAAGACTAAGACACTAAGAATATGGAAAAATTTCAAATGCAGAAGTGGAGGAGAGAAAGGTCATTGAAAAGTTTGCAAAGGATGGATGGGCTAGATGGAATCATTACACTTGGCATTCAAGGATATATGTGATTGAAGGAACCTGAAATATCCATAGGTTTTGGTATCCAAGAATTTAAGTGCCTCGTTGAGCCATAGGTTTTGGTATCAAAGGATTTTAGTGCCACATAGAGGTATAGCTCTTGGCATCCAGATATAGAAGTATGAGGAGGAGTTTTGTACTTGGTATTTTGTTGGACAGTGGAACATTGGTATTTTGTTGGACAGTGGAACAAATTTTTCATTGTAGGTAAAGAGTAGGAATTTGCTATAGAGAAAGTCATTCTGACTAAGTGAAAGGGCTGTAAGGGCTGACTGAAGAAATGTTTTGGAGCGAGGGAGGCAGAACTTTTGTTGCATTTTGAAGTGAATTGAGAGGCTTTGTTTAAATAGAGATGTTAGAGTATGTCAAGGTTGTGTAAAATTCCAATGACTCAATGTGTATATGGTTGAGGAGGCATTCAAGGTGTGTTAGGATCATTGTCTCTCGGTAAGTACATATATATCAATATATTTTCTTTACAACACGGACACTTGTCAGAAATGAGCTATTACATTTTTTAGGAGTGGTGTTGTTAATGCAGGTTAAATGAATTGGTTGATTCCATACCGCTGCAATGTATCTGATTTTTCATTACTTCAATCACTAATCACTATTTTTTCATTTGTATCCACAATTATAGTTCAGTAATGTTTTTAGTGGCATAGATGATACAGGTCATTCACACATTTGTCAATGTGATAGTACTTTAAGAAAGTGCTGTGCTCTTTTCGAGAATGATGCTACCGAATGACATTAAAATCGTTGGGATTAAAGTCCAGTAGCCATTTGTCTGACCATACCTACAGCTGGTTTAGGTCTTCCTGTAGTATTGTGCAGTCCTATCACTTCTATAAAGGCTGATGTATAAATTAATATCTTGGGATCTAAGCACCAACCCCATATGAGAGACCCCACTTGCCACCTTCCTACACCCTGCTGCCTAGTCTTTCTGGCTTGGTGCCTTCTTTTGATAATTACTTGTTTTCCTACACCCAGACACTTTCTCTGACTGTGATCTATTGTTTCTTGTTTGTTAGATACTCTTTACTCAATGTGAATGGATAGGTGTTGCATTAAAAAATCTTTAATCCTTTTTATGTATTAGTTTTCTTTCTCAAGCAAGTGCCTCTACATGCTGTCATAATTGGAAGATTGTTTATCATAATGAGGATGATAATTATTACACAATGTGAATATGGCACAACACATGGTAACGTCTTATTTTACTTCTAATGTTTTGCAGGGTCTTCAGACCGAGAAGAAAGCACCAGTCCAGATAAAAGCCAACAGCGAGCCCCTACTGACCGAAAAAGGAAAAGGAAAAGTGGATCACTAGGGTCACAAAATGATGAAGGGGGAGGAGGAGCTGCTCCTAAGATGAGCAGAGCGACGGAAACCAAAAAAATTAACGATTATCTCAAGCAGCAACAGCAGCAGCAGCAAGCTAATTCTCCTCTTAGACACACTGGTGCTAAGAGTCCCTCCCCACAGACACTTCTAAGCCATATGGTAAATATTATCTTCATTTAACTTTTAGAAAACTTATTATACATGGTTAAGAAATATAAGCAGATGCATCCTCAGTTTTTGAACACTCCTTTCTTTAGGAAATGCTCAAAGATATCTTCATGTGGTGTCCATGGTAGCACTGCAATACCTTATGTTTTTCACATTATTATTATTATGGTTCTCTAATAGGGATAACTTCCAGTTATGCAATATCCAAAAAATCTATGTGTACGATCTTAAAACATTCAGCACTAATGTATGGTGACATGAACCATTTTGATATATAGTTTGGAAGGGTAGGGAGTGAACTTGAGCAATATTTCAAAAAATTATACTCATAGATGTACCCAAATTTCTGAACACATGCAGATTTGTCGGGGAATATAGTCGATAGTGTTGGTTGCAAATGGTATCGGGTCCTCTCAGTAGGGTCCCTACGGCACTAGTTTTCGAGTGACTCCCAACCAATGCCTGGCCCCCTTGTGATGTATATAGACCCCACAGGAAGCCAGGGAGCTGGTCGGCCGAGCGGACAGCACACTGGACTTGTGATCCTGTGGTCCAGGGTTCGATCCTGGGCGCCGGCGAGAAACAATAGGCAGAGTTTCTTTCACCCTATGCCCCTGTTACCTAGCAGTAAAATAGGTACCTGGGTGTTAGCCAGCTGTCACGGGCTGCTTCCTGGGGGTGGAGGCCTGGTCGAGGACCGGGCCGCAGGGACACTAAAAAGCCCCAAAATCATCTCAAGATAACCAGGATCAGAATCTGGCCCCCCATGCAAAGGCAAGAGGAGCATAAGGATCAATGATCACCCTAAAACTAAAAATACACACGTGAAACAAAACAAACAAGTGTAAGGGCTTGGTATTTGGATTCCAGTAACCCAAATCTCTCAGTATTCTAAATAAATTCTCGTTCGAGTATTTTACATTTTAACCCAAATTGGAATTTGGAGCATTACCAAGATTTCTGCCAAATGAAAAGCCAAATAAATTTGGCTTTTAATAAATATCCAGAAGAGATTATACTTGCCCTGCACCTTTTATGTTTTGAATAGAGGCTTTGTAATAGCTAGGATGAAAAATTAAGTTTTTCAGGGAAAAACTTGTTGCATAGTGATTGGTATATTTAGGATAACAATCCACACTAGTTTATTTTTAAATTTATGTAAGGAATTAACACCAAGTCTTTCGCACTCTCCTGAGTGCTTTGTCAAGGTCTGAGTGTTTGATTAGGGCGAGACTTACATCTCAACGTCTAATGAGGCTGCTGTCCTGGGTCCAGTCCTCTTATCCTTCTTGACCTCCTGACTATGTCACCTCTAATGGACTCAGGATGAGAGGACTGGACCCAGGATAGCAGCCTCATTAGACATTAAGATGGCAGTCGCATCCTAATCACACACTCAGACCTTGACAAAGCACTCAGGAGAGTGCGAAAGACTCTGCGTAAATTCCTGATATAAATTTCACAAATACGCAAGTGTGGGTTGTTATCCTATGTTATTATGTCTGTGAGAAGACATTACCATTACTAAATTGGTTTATTATTCAAACATATATGAGGACAATTTAGATATTACAGCTCATGGAACTGTGTTATTTCAGACTGGTCACAGTGGTGGTTTAGGCGATCCACTTGTTGGGTTGATGCCCCCACCTCGAGGTGTTCCTGTAACTCACCGCTCCACACAGAGTGATATTACCTTTAGGCAGGTTGAAGAAATGGAAAGTCGTGCGTCTATGGACATGGAAGCAAAAAATACAAGAATTGATAATTTACAGTGTGTAAGTATGCAATGAAATGTTATTTGTTAACTGTTGAGTTGAGAATTTTTAACCACTATTATGTTAATTTTGTGAATATGAAAATGTCATTAATTCATTCTGTTAGACACTAGAGTAGCTGTCATGGCAATATTTTAATTCAGTTCATCCTTACTTTTCAGACAAATGAAGAACTATCACGACAGCTACAGACTCAAAGTAAACTCCTCGAACAAAAGCAATTACAAATTAATAAATGTATTGAAGTAGTCAAGAAATTACAGATTGAAAAATCTAATATAGAAAAGAAAGAGGCCAGACAAAAATGCATGCAGAACCGATTAAGGCTGGGGCAGTTTGTTACTCAAAGGGTCGGGGCAACCTTTCAGGAAAACTGGCAAGATGGCTATGCCTTTCAGGAAATAACGAAGTGAGTATAGGTTTAATTGATATGCAGAGTAATTAATTATACAAAGCTATTTTTTATGACGAGTTCATAAGATTTGATGGATCATTATTTGTTATTTTTAGTTGTGCACTATTGTTAAGCTTGTAATACAAGAGCGCTGAGAGGAATATCTGGAGGCTTGTCTGACCACATGTTGGTGCTGTGTAAGATAAGTGGTGAAAGGATAATGATAACAAAAAATGATCAAAGATAGAAATGATCAGTAGTTGAAAAGTTGAGTGAGGAGAGCTGGCATAGGAGTACAAAGGAAGAATTGATACTGTAGTGATTTTGGAGAAGGAGACTAGAAACCAGTGGGATGTATACAAGAAAAGCATAGTTAAGAATGGCATGAAATTGTGTAGACTTGCACAGATTGGTAGGAGAATGCTAAATACAGCCAGAGGTCTGCCTGAAGAAGTGGTGTTACCAATTCTAGGTATGGTTGCTATGAGATATTGTTCAGTAAAATGAAAATTAAAAATACAAAAATAGAGCAATAAATATGGACAGTCTTAGAAGCAGGCATGGCATTAAGAGAATAGATAAAGGAAGGAAATTGGCAAGGAGATACGTCCAGTTCAGAATTCAATAAATTGCAAGATACCCATGTAAGTGGGAAATGGGGGTAATGATTGTGTGAAGTTATGGATACATGTATGTATGTATGTATATTGTTTTGAAAGTCTTGGTGTCTGAAGTTAGTTCCCTGGAAACACAAACCGAAACTGTCTCTATTTTCCGCTTGATACAACTTGTAATAAAGTTGTTACATCTTGGCTTAACGTGTTTATGACGTATTAGAACGTTGTTACAACTTGCTATATTGGTTGTTATAACTGGTTAGGAGGTGTTAAAACTTGTTCAAACGTTGTACCAACCTCGTAGTTTCCGTGTGTGTTTGGCGGGTTGACACTGACCTGATTCTGAAAGCTTCTGACAGTCATTTTAAAACACTTATCACGCCCCTGAGAGTCGAGGTTAAGTTCAATGGGCTTAACTTTGATGCAGACTTTAAATACCAGCAATGTACCTTCTCGGTAATGCAAATTTTCCCCATGCTTGAAAATTATTTTATTTGTATTATTATTTTTGCACTTGTTTAGGAAATCCTTGCATACTTTTAAATTTTAATTAAATATTTTAGAATTATAGTCAGCCCTTGCTCTCCACGAGTTCAACATTCCCAAAATTCAGAATCTGCATGAAAGATATTTACTGTAAAACATCATTAAATACGAGATCTGTGTTTGCTGTCTGCGAGTTGACTGTTGCATGTGTTACACACGATTTGGATTACATTCTTGTATCAGAGCACCTTTGAAATATTCTACAATGTGTGCTACACCCAAGTTTTTCCCCAGGAAGAATTTAATTGTGAAGTTTAACTCATCAACATCATTGGTGAGTGTGGCGATCTATTTTATGCAGTATGTTTGTGGCTGGGAAGTGGTATTTGTATGCCAGAGTGCATACAAATTTACTAATGTTACTAATGTATATATGTAACTAGAAAATGGCAGGGTTACTTAACACTTTCGCGCTATCTGGACGCGCCGGCGCGTTCGGTTTCGTCTAACGTAAACGCATAGTGGACATAAAGTTATGTCTACTTTTAAAATATTTGTATAAAATTCAATTTTTATCCGATTTACTTTGGGTTTGTTTCAAACTGCGCGCTATGAGGCTCTCTTTCTCACCACTAGGCTGCATGGTACAATAAGTTCATGAAAGGTGTGGATAACTTCGATCAAATGGTATTTTGTCCCAAACGGGTTGCAGGTGGGTGACTTTAGCTGTTTATACTGGTAATTCTTCCCCATATCATGTATTATATGCATATGTCTGTTTAGGGAATTTTATTCCGATCAATATACAACCAAAAATAACTGTGTGCAACAAGTATAATCTTGACAAACATAACAAAAGTAAAAATATTTCGTGTGTGTTTGACGCTCACTGATATGTTCCAGCGTTGTTTTATATTTGTCGCTATTCTAACTTACGCTTTGTTGATATTTTTTACCTATGGGCACATAGAACATTCTATTGCGAACACATTGACATAAAAATGAATGACGTACATAGAAAATTAATGTCATGAGAGTGAAATAAGTATAAACTTTCAAAGCGCCGTGCGTCGTCCCGTCACCGATACCGGGTAACAATTTCACCACTTCCCACACTCTTGCGGGCGGGCTGCATCATTATTCTACGCTTATATTCGTATCACCGTGTTGGGAATTTCATTGTGAGTCCATTGATACCAAAATTAACGCTGTAGAACAAGTGTGGAGGTGATTACAATCCAAAGAGTAAAAACATTTTGTTGCTGATGGGCGCTCACGGCGAGTCATCTACGTAGTTATTTATTTGGTGCTGGTATCCCTATATGTTTCTTGACTTATTTTACTAATGTTCTTCTAGAGAATTTTATTGCGAACACGTTGGTACCAAAATGAAATACGTAGCATGAGAACTAAGGTCAGAAGAGTAAAAAGAGTATACACATTTTTGTTTTTACGCTTAAGCGATAAAAACGCAGCGCGCACATTCGGTTGGCTGAGTGACCTTTGCGGAGAGCGCGAAAGTGTTAATAATGAAATGTGAGGAAAGAAAAGGGGATGTTGGGAAGTCTCAAGAACACATCATTATTGTTCCAATGTGACACTTAAGTGCAATATTCATGAATTCACGGGCAAAGGATTTCCAACGTGTGTTCATCTGAGGAGAGCAAGAGCTAACTGTGCCAACAGAGTGTCATATGTGTGCATTATCATATTTATTATTTCTTTAATAATTGCCACTGCTGTCCCCTGTAGAACTATCAGATTTACTTTTAGATGATTTGTATTAGTAATGATTTATCTTCCTTGCGATTATAGACGGCAAGAAGAACTTCAAGCAAATAGAGAAGAAATAGACCGACAGCGAAAACTTTTAATGAAACGTAAACCATCTGAAAGTGGGAGCAACTCTCGGAAACGGGCAACAAACAGTAATCAAGGACAGGTTGGCGGAAATCTTCCAAATGGCCTTGGGGGTGACCACGACCACAGAGACCTCACTATCCAGGAATATTATGAATCGGAAGAAATATTAAAGGTTGGTATTTTTATTTATACAGTATTTCTCTTGAAGACTTATGCAGGATCACATGCAATACCCTTGTCATTTAATAGGGATTGTTGGGTACGAGCACAGTACAGTGTCTCTTTTGACAGATATTTACATGCCTTCCTTTCTTTTGGAATAGCATTTCACATATCTGTATATCTTAGAAAAGCATTAATCTCGCTCACCTGCCTTCCTGTTGTTGGTAGAGACTAGAGATACAGCATCTAGGTTTCATTAGTGGTGTGCTTGCAAAAAGTAGGCATGATCAATTTCTCCTATGCAATAAATAAATTATTTATACATTTTGCAATGTACTTGTAATTTAATTATGTCACAATAATTAAATTTTTCTAATTATTGTAGGAATTAGTGTGAGGATTAAATATAATGGTGTGAGGGAGGTACGATTGGAGTATTTAAAGCTACAGCATGGGTGTAACATTTGGTTCTATCTTCATCAGAGGGCTATACAAGTCAGATTCAAGAACCTGTCTTGAAGGCCAGATAGTTGAGTATTACAAGACATGAAAACAGATTTGCTGGCACCTGGCTAATTTTTACGCTTAGCAGGGAATGACTATTTTTCTTCAATCATTCAATTGTGACAAGTGTGGTAAAAAATTAAGGAAAATAAATACATCATGGTACATGATCATATATAAATATTTAGTTGTCTCGAGCTATTTGTAATGCCCCGGTACCTGTTTAGTAGAAAATAGAGGAAGGTTTTGAAAATTACAATAAAGTTATCTATTTACCTATATCTTGACAGTTTGTTTACTTTGGGGTAAATCCGCATCTTTGAAGTTGCAATCATATACAGTATAACATTTTACCCAGATAGTTAAAGTGCCGTCAAGTGTTCATGGTTGACATTTTTTGTTCTTGTGATGCAGATCAGTCGCACTTGGCACTGAGAAAGATGCTGGCATGCAGAAAAGGAAGACTTTCATTAACAGCTACTTACAAGTGAGAAAGTATAAATCAAGAAATATAAAGAGATTGAAAGGCACAAGATAGGTACTGGGAAACGTTAAACAGAAAAATGTGAAAACATTAGTTAGTGAAATGTGGGTGGAGAATAAATGGATCAGATCATTAAGTTACATAATTTTCATGCTCAGTGTGATAGTTCAGGGTACAGGGTACTATTAAGCAAGATGAAAAGTTTTGGCATTAATGATCCACAAGTTTGCATGGTAATGGGAAGATCAGTATTTACCCCACCGTCCATAAATTATGTGGGCATTTAATTTTAGTGTGGGTAATAATTTGTAATGTTCTTCTCTTGCTTCCTCCAACAGTTACGGCAAACTGCTTTAAAAAAGGAGGACACAGACCTACAACAAGAAATGGAAAAACTTGAGAGAGAGAGAAATCTTCATATTAGAGAACTCAAGCGAATTCACAATGAAGACCAGTCAAGGTGAGCATTTCCTGTGTTGCTTTATTGGGCTTTCATGGCAAGTACAGAACCCACCATTGCATAGTGCATGTGCATTAACATCAGCCTCAAAACCAACTTTGAAGATATGGAAGGTGTTGTAATTGTTATAATTATTAACAGGTTATGGTAAGTATTCATCACATCTTGGATGTAGTAAGAGTGATGAAAGTGTATGATGAATAGCGAGATTTATTGTTTGATCCTCTTAACAGTAAGTTAACAATAAGAAATCCTTTTGTTTGAGATGTGTAAAATGGTGACCCTGCATGTTTATCCTTAAGCATTAGGTCAGCTCATACAGACCACCTCTGCTTTAGCATAATATTATTGATGTTAAAAGTGAAGCTTGAACTGGCATGAGTTAACCAGATAGAACATATATACAGAAAGCTATGTAAGCAAAAAAAAATTATTTGTAAAGTGTGATGGAGCGAGAGAAAATTTGTAAAATGTGTGTGGGATACGAGCAACATTTATGGGTACTGATACCTGGGAAGGTGTGTAGGAGGACTGATACCTGGGAAGGTGTGTAGGAGGACTGATACCTGGGAAGGTGTGTAGGAGGACTGATACTTGGGAGGGTGTGTAGGAGGACTGATACTTGGGAGGGTGTGTATGAGGACTGATACTTGGGAGGGTGTGTATGAGGACTGATACCTGGGAAGGTGTGTAGGAGGACTGATACTTGGGAGGGTGTGTAAGAGGACTGATACTTGGGAGGGTGTGTATGAGGACTGATACTTGGGAGGGTGTGTAGGAGGACTGATACCTGGGAAGGTGTGTAGGAGGACTGATACTTGGGAGGGTGTGTAGGAGGACTGATACTTGGGAGGGTGTGTATGAGGACTGATACCTGGGAAGGTGTGTAGGAGGACTGATACTTGGGAGGGTGTGTGTGAGGACTGATACTTGGGAGGGTGTGTATGAGGACTGATACTTGGGAGGGTGTGTATGAGGACTGATACCTGGGAAGGTGTGTAGGAGGACTGATACTTGGGAGGGTGTGTAGGAGGACTGATACTTGGGAGGGTGTGTAGGAGGACTGATACTTGGGAGGGTGTGTAGGAGGACTGATACCTGGGAAGGTGTGTATGAGGACTGATACTTGGGAGGGTGTGTATGAGGACTGATACTTGGGAGGGTGTGTATGAGGACTGATACTTGGGAGGGTGTGTATGAGGACTGATACCTGGGAAGGTGTGTATGAGGACTGATACTTGGGAGGGTGTGTAGGAGGACTGATACTTGGGAGGGTGTGTGTGAGGACTGATACTTGGGAGGGTGTGTGTGAGGACTGATACTTGGGAGGGTGTGTGTGAGGACTGATACTTGGGAGGGTGTGTGTGAGGACTGATACTTGGGAGGGTGTGTGTGAGGACTGATACTTGGGAGGGTGTGTAGGAGGACTGATACTTGGGAGGGTGTGTATAGAGGGATGGGGGGAGAGGGGACCCGGTATTGATGATGTTATGAAGATATATTACAAGCTATTATGGGCAAAGTATGATAGTTAGTTTTTCTTAATTTTGCAGACATCAGTGTATGGTACAGTATTTTACAATATAGAAAGAAAATCAGAAAGAAAAAATAATAATTCAGAGTTGAATTAATGATGTTGCAAGATTCATTATGGGGGTTGCTTTGGCACTGTGCCGAGTAGCACTCATTTCATTGATGCCAACTTCTGGACTGCCAAAAAGCCTTTTGAAACAGTACCTCACAAGTTGCCATAGAGCGGCCGCTGATGTTGGTCATAGTTTATGCACCTCAAAAGCTTTTTCATGTCGTCATAAGTTTCCCTGATATGGGCTGCATAACCCAATGGAGTTAATGGCAAAACACTCCCATTATGCAACAAAGCATCTCCATTATCACAATCGACTTTATAATGGTCCAGAACGGATCGAAAAGTCGTAGTTTCTTCATCCTCTGGTATGTGGTTATCTTGAGGTTATCTTGAGATGATTTCGGGGCTTTAGTGTCCCTGTGGCCCAGTCCTCGACCAGGCCTCCATCCCCAGGAAGCAGCCTGTGACAGCTGACTAACACCCAGGTACCTATTTTACTGCTAGGTAACAGGGGCATAGGGTGAAAGAAACTCTGCCCATCGTTTCTCGCCGGCGCCTGGGATCGAACCCGGGACCACAGGATCACAAGTCCGGTGTACTGTCCGCTCGGCCGACCGGCTCCCTCCATGTGGTTTGGTCATCATTTCTCAGCCACGTTATTGTGACTCATCGTCTGCCAAAAACAGCTTTAAGATTCGTTTTGGATGAAAACTAAAGCTAATAAAAATTTTTAAGCATCATTTGCATTATCAGTGACCCATAATTAGTCAAGATTGACTTCATTCATTTCAGAAGCATTTTGTGTGCAGACCAGTGTAAGCTAACTTATATGGGGCTGTGAACGATGTTATGATGACATTTGGTAACAAGCTACAGTGTCCGTGAGTGATGTTAAGGTAGCAGTTGACAATACAACTTGCATTGTTTGTACTTACCTGGTTGTGTCCATGGGAAGCTAGATCTACCTCTATAGCCTCGCCTCAAACAATATCTCTATAGCCTCGCCTCAAACAATATCTCTAGCTACTCTCTCCTGTAGTACATGGAATTTCCACTACTCTGTAGTTTCAGGCCTAACTCCTTTTTTTTTTTATAATGGATTCACTATTTACCGTCTTACATGTTTTTGGTGAGTTCTCCGCTTGGTGGTGACAGTTCAAGATGTAAGACCCTAGTAAATATTACATGGCATCTCTACTGTTTCTTTCAATTTCTTAAAGGGAAATGTTATACATCTTATTCTTTCAGATATATGCGTACCTTGCTTTCTGTGATAGCATTTTCATTTGTTTTGGTTTAATCTGATAGCTTAGTGTTTTATTGTGGATTTTCTTCTTACATGGTTGTGTAATTGGCGTAGTAAATCTTCAATATGTGTGTGAGTGATATTAGAATGTAAGTTTTTACCCACGTAAAATCTCTCTTTGAGTGATGTTTGGGGTGGCATTTTGTATTGCATCTGCTAACAAATATTGAGATGAATTTTTGCAAGTATATTTAAAGCAACATCAAATAAGGCACATACGAGTTTTTAAAAAGTTACAAAAGTAAATATTTAAATTGGTATTACAGTATTGGAATTTATCTTAACAGTTCCTGTTGATTCCTACGATTAAGACGTCTTTACATTTCTGTGTGTTAAAGTGAGATACTTGAATGTTGTGAATGAACTTGTGGCTTGATTAATATTTTGTTGCTGTAATTAGTATAAATCTGAATACTAAGCTTCATAATAATTGATGATTAAATACAATTGATTGATGTAGCATTGTGAAGCTCTGATGCATGAAGGACATATTGATGCAAAACACTGGTCATGATTGTAATGCTTGGAGTGCATATTGATGCAACCAATGCACTCGTCATGATTGTAATGCTTGGAGTGCATATTGATGCAACAGATGCACTCGTCATGATTGTAATGCTTGGAGCGCATATTGATGCAACAGATGCACTCGTCTTGATTGTAATGCTTGGAGCGCATATTGATGCAACAGATGCACTCGTCATGATTGTAATGCTTGGAGCGCATATTGATGCAACAGATGCACTCGTCATGATTGTAATGCTTGGAGCGCATATTGATGCAACAGATGCACTCGTCATGATTGTAATGCTTGGAGCGCATATTGATGCAACAGATGCACTCGTCATGATTGTAATGCTTGGAGCGCATATTGATGCAACAGATGCACTGGTCATGATTGTAATGCTTGGAGCGCATATTGATGCAACAGATGCACTCGTCATGATTGTAATGTGACTTAGAAATTATTTTCAGTACAGTAGTTATATCATGAAAGAGATTTAGAATACAAATGAAGACAATTTAGCTTGATAGATTGGTCAACGGGCAGTATACGGACTTAATCTATTTAAAAAGAATGTTGAATAGGTTGATTTTGGTCATCATTCTCAAATAGCTATTCATTGATAAGATGAGCACCAGTTGAGATTGAATGAAGAATCATGTATAATATTGGACTATATATTGTGATGTTAACTTGAATCCTATAGAGCAGTGATGTAATTTAAACCAGTTAAATGCTCACATTTGAAGTCTGATGTGACATTAGAGTGAACTTGTATTATGTGTTTCATAAACAAGCTGTAGTAAAAGAATAGCCAAGATCCATTTGCAGGAAACCAGTCATGGGGTGGAACTAGTCAGTTGGTGGGACCAGTTAGCTGCTGGGACCAGTCAGCTGGGGGAACCAATCAGGTGCTGGGACCAGTCAGCTGGGGGAACCAGTCAGGTGCTGGGACCAGTCAGCTGGGGGAACCAGTCAGGTGCTGGGACCAGTCAGCTGGGGGAACCAGTCAGGTGCTGGGACCAGTCAGCTGGGGGAACCAGTCAGGTGCTGGGACCAGTCAGCTGGGGGAACCAGTCAGGTGGTGAGACTAATCAGCTGATGCAACTGGTCAGTTGATGAGGATTGCACAACTCTCACCAAAGCATCCTGGCGAGTAACATCTCCTGCCAGTATTTAACTTTACCATGTCATGGTATAGTTAACTAGAGCGCATCTGGGAACATCCAGTGCATAGGTTCGAACTCTCGTCACGGCCCTTGTGGATGTGTTCGTTTGATATATCACGTTATTGTGATTTGTGTGTGTGTAATAAATATGGTTACATGAGTAGATTTTGTGAGCTGTAACTTGACGTCTTAACTCGTGTAACATGACCAGAGTAGTGGGACAATAGTTAGTGACCTTGTCTCTTGAACTCCTGCAAAAGTTGCCCAACTCCCACGTATACCTATTTACTGATAGGTGAACAGACACAGTAGGTTTAAGGAATCGTTCTCAAACATCTTGTCCTGCCTGGAAATCGAACTCTTGTTCAGTCAGTTACGAGCCTCCTACACTAACTAGCCATTGCACTACAGGTTTCCTATATCATTTTTTTT